GTTATGCTCACGAAAACCTTTGATTTTATCAGGGTAAAAAGCCATTTACAGCGAGACTTTCGTAAAAAGGAAAAACATAACGCAGAGCTCGGAAATAGTGTCCATTAAAGTTGCCACGCCGCAAAAAGCAGTCTTTATCGCACGATGACGTTGACTGCGAGTCAGCTTTAAGATAGCTTAGAGTCTGTTTTATGAATTCTTTACACCCTACAGCTTTTCAGCCACAACTTTCTCTTACAGGTGATGTGTGTACAGTACTGGCCGGCGAATAAAGAAAAAGACGAGGAATATGGGGGTATCGGCGTTTCCGTATTAAAAGAAGAGGAACTCGCTAATTTTCATATAAGGACGATAAGGCTATACAAAAAGAACGAGAACAACGTAAGTGTAACTGCTATTCACATAGAAACTTTGTATCAATATTATTTCGCTCGCAATATAAATACGACATATAAAAAATAGCAGAGCAAATATTATTCTTTTTTTTTTTAAAAGCACCTGTATCCCAGATTAATAACCTTCGACGTGCGCAGCAAATGAATAACACGTGCAGAACAATTAAATTCAATATTTGTGAGAAAGCGCAAATATTCGCGCTGATCAATTGACAATTCAGTAACTCGATTCGTCCCGAATTTGAATAAGTTGAAAAATTCGCGATGTATGTCATTTATCACTGTGTGTGAGGTAACAGAATAACGAAAATCCACCGCGACATTGTTCGATTATTCGTATATATTAAGATTTGAATAAATCAGAAGGGTTTGCGAATAAATCAGAAGGGCGTCACATCAACGAGAATTATTCGGATGATCCATAAATGGACCAATTCTTCTTCTTTTGAATGGAGAAATTTCTATGAAACAACCGCGAGGAACTCGAATGATTGTGTGTAATTGGATAATACAGTAGTTGGCCCAAATTGATCGGTAACGTACTCGATGCCAACTCGAAACCTTGTCTCAGCCTAGAAATGAATGGAACAAGGAATGGAGAACAAAGTTAGCGAGAAAGTTAGCTAAATTAACCATGTATAGATCGCATCACTTTCGTCAATTAGACCCTGCTCGAATGCGAAATGTGATACGAATCCGCGATATGAATGAGGATAAATTTGCTCAAGCAGTTATTACGCGAGCGGCTAATTTAATTGCACTTTTATCTACGAGAACGAGGAACGACAATTGCAAGGACTTTTTAAAGCTCTTCCGATTACTTACCTAGTCCTTTTCTCGTTCAACTTTTTTCCGTTATCTAGAGAGTCGTCTCAGGTTTTAAAGTTGTTCCTTCGCATCTTCGCATTAATGTCTCCGTCTGCTTTTCGAAACCTTTGTATATATTATTTTTCACTGTATATTGACCAGAAAGAGATGTTTATTCTTCCACGTGTATTTTTTGTGACAAAAGATTTTATTTTCGTATGTATAATATAATAGTCAATCTTTTTTGCACTGATTGTATATTTTAAAAAGATATTAAATAATTAAATAATAATATAAAAGCAATGTGTCGATTAAGTTAAAAGTTTTAGTTTTGATTTGTGTATGAAAAATTCAAAATGAATACAAAAATTTAGAGATATTCATAAAAATATATCTTTTATGAGTAAATAATCAAAAACGTTTGAATAAAAGTTTTCTTAAAAAAAAAAACTCTTTCTAAAAACACTTTATTCAATTTCTATAAAATTCCTATTTAATGTCTAACTATATTTTCTTAAGATATTGATAAGTTTTTATCAAACATCAATAACAATAATCGATTCTCAAGAATATAATAGGAAGATTATAAACTCTCTTTATTCATAATATATCATTGCTAAGAAAAGTAACTTACATATTTCAACAAATCTAGTTGTGAAACAAGTACCAACACGTGAAATTGATGAATTTAGGCTCTCGTTTGTCTCGCGATCAGCACTTTTCGATGAAAGATTGTTAACGAACCTATCGTATCAAATTATTGAGTATGCTTCTCTATTGAACAGTAGATGCAACAAAGTAATTACTTTCGAAATTTACTGACTGAAATTTAATATAGAAGAAGAGAACCTTGTAACCCCATTCCGGGAATAGCAAAGCAAGCTGAGAGGTTACAAAACACCCCGATGTGCAACACGGGCCGGGCAGCGCAAGATGCGACTGCAATTGTCGAGCTTAACGCGGCATTGTTAGGATAACAATACCGTAGGAGAATCTCACCCCCGGAAAATAATCTGCCGGCAACGCAAGTTGCACTTCGTGACCGCGCGTCGCTAATTTGTTAGACGGCGATTTTCTGCATTTCAGCAACGATCATAAATCTTGAAGCATTTTAATCTCACGTACATGTTCCGAACGATTCGGTGAGGAAAATAGAGAATGACAATGAAATGCAAAGTGTAGGAAATGAATGAGAGACGAAAATGATTGTCGTGAAAGATGATCGTTGTAACTCTGTATGCGAAAACGTTTTCAGGAGATTACGGAAGAAAGGACGTTGTTGCAATTTCATTACACAGAATGGCACTCACACACGTGTCCCTTCGGAAATGCGGTGCTGGAATTTAGACGGCGTGTTCGAGCCGTGGTGGGATCAACCATAAAGAACGAATCCGGTCCTATGGTCGTTCACTGCAAGTAAGGACACTTGTGTTACAAGTTAATTATTTATGTAAAAGTTAACAACGAGCCACTTTCGCGCTAACGAGATAATAAATTTGTTTGTTTGTGACACAAAGCGATGGTGGCGGACGATCGGGGGTATATTTAGCGATCGATGCGAACATGGAGCTAGCCGAAGAGGAAGACGCGTTCGACGTGTTTGGCTACTTGAAGAAGTTAAGGCAGAGCAGGAGAGGGCTCATAGAAAATTTGGTAGAACAACAATTATAAATATAAACACATATTTAAGTAATAATATAAGGACGGCGCGATGTGTCAATTAAGTTAAAAGTTTCAGTTTTGATTTATACAAAGAATTCTAATTTCTGTATTCTTTTTTTTTTTGTTAAAAGTTCTTGTTTCTCGAAAAAGAATTACACGAAAGCTCTCCTATTTTCAACGAATTATTTTCATAATTTGTTCTCAAATAAATTGTCCTTAATTTTTTTTTTTTGACATCCTTTTTGAAACTTATTATTGATGGTATAATTTTGCAACTTTGATATCTTATATTTCGATACATATGTACATTCAAATATAATAGGAACAGTACAAATTCGTATACGACACGCTCGAGGAATTCGTCGTGTGCGGTACATCGTGGTTCCCTGTAGCTGAATTATCGCAACGTCTAAAGCAGAAAAGTATAAAGAACCCGATAACTAAGATGAACGAATACCAAAGAGAGTACCAGCAAATTTGCAAGCAGACGCCACGTTTCACGATTGGCGATTGCGCCGGTGGACACAGAGCCGACAACAGAGAAAAGAATAGAGACGTCCTGGTAGTTCCACGTGAGTTTCAACTCGAACGACCGGCAACTTCGGCAAATAGCTTTTCCACACTGTACAAATCAATCTCCTGCTTTGTTACAGCGGACAACTTTCGACCGTACCTCACCAGCTTTCAGGGTAACAGTTTCACAGACTACATCAACGCTGTCTTTGTGGATGTAAGTCAGTAAAATAAATCACCTCGCTTAACTGGTTTATCTTTACCTTCTCTTACATCGCTTTGAAATCTGCATTTCTAATTTAGATATAAACTTTTAACGAAATTTGTACAAAGTGCACCACGCTGATAATTAAAACTGAAATTAATCGTTTTAGCGTTTATATAAATGTACTGACACAAATCTCTTTTATAGTTCAATCTACATTTATATTATTTAAATATAATATTAAAAACGATAATAAAAAAATAATAAAGTTTTATAAATATCGGATTTATAAATATCGAAAATATAAAAAACTTTGCGGATCGAAGTATATATTGCATTTCTCGAGATACATTCCCGCAATCGTTGCCAAGTTCTTCGTTCTTCCAAAGAACATTCATTCACTGTCATGCCACAGGGTTACACGAAACCGAGAGAATATATCGTAACGGAATGGCCCCTTCGACACACGTGCGGTGAATTCTGGTCTTTAGTTTACGACTATGAATGCGCTGCGGTAGTAGTTCTCTGCGTGCCACCTCAGGGATCCACGAATTTTCCCAGTTTTTGGCCTGAAGGAAGACACTCCAAGAAATACGGACCCGTGTTTACGATTGACCATATTAGCCACAATCATTACACCAATATAAAAACCTGGGTGAGAACTGATTCTCTAATCGTCATAAAGTAAAGACTCACGTAAAGTTTTCAATTTTTAGGTTTTATTTGAATCTTCACAAAAATTCTACGTGTGTATTTAAAAGATGTACGATGATAATATTTTTTTTCTTGTTTTTATCTGTGTGAATTATTTCTCAGGTTTTTAGGATAAATAAGAAAATCGTCTCATTGACGGAATTGATGGCGGGGGTGAAAGCACCACCAAAGACCGTGCAACTGTTCCAATTAACTTGTTGGCCAATGGGTCACAAAGTGCCCACGTCTACAAATAGTTTAGTAGAGCTCATGAATATGGTTGAGAGATGGAGACAACGAACAGATTACGGACCAGTAGCTGTGGTTTCGCCCGATGGAAGAAGTCGTTGTGGAGTCTATTGTGCGGCCAACGCGTGCATAGAACAAGTCATTCAACATGGAGAAGTTGACATTTTCCAAGCCGTAAAAACTGTACGCAGACACAGACCCCAGCTTGTGGAAAACATGGTATAATTATAACGTTACAATACAGTATCCTCTAAATTTCTTACGCGTTTCTCAAATTATAATATTGTTTGTATATTATAACATGCTTTTTATTAAAGATACTTTGTTTTTGTGTCTTATATAAAAATATAAGACACAAGCATATGGAGAAACATGTGTAACATTCTTTTCCAGACGGAGTACAAGTACTGTTATGACTTGGTTCTACACTACGTATTGCACTATTTAAATAAAGACATGAACGAAAAGAAGTGAGAATGCGAGTTGAGGGACGAGCTGTGGTTCATCGAATTCGGTCGCGGAGCAGCGCTGCCGTTGACCCCGGAAGAGGCACCGGTGGACGGGGAACCGGTGGTGCCTTGTGCCCAAGGTCGCATCATCGTGGAGACTGCGAGGCCGGCACCGCCACATTTTGCTACTTGCTCCGGCTATCGCAGGCCGCTTCTCAGCCGCACTTCCAACGAAGTATCGGTTAGTGATGGAACGGCACCGTCATCGAGTGGCACGGAGCAGAGTCAACAAGAGCAGCAACAACAACACACACAGCAGACCGTTGGCGGTAAAGGCGCCGTCAGCAAGGGTACAGTAACGCCGCAGAGTCCTGCCTCGAGGCCGGAAGATCTCAGCGTGAGATCCTGGTACCTGGAGGATTATCCGACGACCGATACCTCACCGGGGCCGATGGGCGATCGGAGCTCGTATCCCTCGTGCTCGTATACCGATGGTAGGGATAGCAAACCGGATTTGAACTCGACGAGGAATAGCAGCATCGAGAGCGAATTCCCGAAGCCGATAGTATCGATACCGCGGAAGGCTTGTATGGATCTAACGACTGCGATGGCATTGTTGGATGAGACCTGCCCGAACGTGGAACCCAGTCCATCTCTCACCCCGAGAACGCCCAGAACACCGCTGACACCGTATACGACGCGGAGCAAACGGGCCCGTTCCAAGAGCAGTGACAATTCATCGAATTACAGCAACGATCGGCTGAGTGATCGCTCGTTCGAGGTCACCAAAGACAAGGAAAAGAAGAGGCCGTTCCTAAGGAAGATAGGCATTTCAAAAACTGAGGACCGACCATTCCTGGCGAAGCTGACACCGAGGATTCTTGGTAAGCCCTATCTGGAAAAGATCGGACCCAGCAAAGCCATCGAGAGACCGTTCCTCGACAAGATCGGCTCGTCCAAAACTTTAGACAAATTCATCTTCGACACGCCGCGTAACGAACGCAAGAATGAACTTAGGACGAGGACGAACGACGTGATGAAGAATCACGACGGAATAAAGAATAACATCAGGCATGACATCGAGCAGATTGCCATCGAAGAAGATGTTGAAAACGCAATCGAAACACCAGAGGTAACACCTGTTACTTCCCGTTTGGAACAAGTACAACACAAATCTTTAAGTATTGCAGAGACTCCACAAACGGCGACAACAACCTGCGAAAGAAGACGGTCGGGTAAAGAGAGTACTCTTTCGAGACGGAAGATCTAGAGTCCACTGTACCGAAGGAACGAAACACGTTACATGGAACGTCTTTAGACGATGTGTTGAATTCAGGGCCGAGCTCGTTGCCGACGGATAACAGCGACGAGCAAACGGATTCACGGCTAGAATTCACGGAGAAGCGACCGACCAGCGTGACCGCCGAGTTATTGAAGTGCCGAGTGACCACAAGCGAGGAAATAATATCCTCCTCTACCACGTGTTTGAATTCACCGAGTGAAACTAACAGCTGGAACAACTCGCCGCAAACAGAATCTTTCAGGGTTCTCACGAGATCATTCGTAGCGACGACAGCACGCCAAACTCACCCACGAAGAGGCCTATCTCGAGCGTCTCCCCTGATCGTGAGATCGAGTTGAGGAGTAGCACTCTGGAAAGAGGAACTTTGTCCCCGACGAAAACTAGGAAATCGATCATTGAGGACATGAGGACGGTCGAGAATACGCGTAGGTCAATCAAGTACAATCAGTTTGAAAGACGAGGCATCTCTTCGGACAATCTCCTGGCGAAAGACGCTCTTTCATTCGTCACTGCCGCTCGTACTATGACCGATAACATCGGGAGAACACGGGAGATCTCGTCAGAAGATTCGCTGACGACTCGTCGAGAGTACACAAGGGAGACATTCAAACAATTGCAAGACAAATTTAAGATGCAGGAAATACCTATGGAGAGTTACGCGGCTTTCAAACGGCGCACTCAAGCCGCTCCGGGAGCAATAAGTCGACAAGAAAGACTGAACCTTTTACCAGGGGACCTTGACGTAACCATAAAGAGCACACCTAAGAAGGAAAATGTTCCATCGACTGACACAATTGTAAGCGAAACTGCCATGAATAAGCGAGATCAGAGTCAAGAAGGTACGGTGAGATCCATTCTGAGAAAGCAGGAAGGAATCGATCATCCCGATCAGGAATCAGACACAAACGCGTCCATCAGACGACCAAAGAGGCGGATCTTTCATGAACCGTCGCAGGAGACTATGGATCTGCTGACGGAATTGCGCAAGGTGAAGAGCCTGTTAAAGACCCCGTCCTGGGAAAAGGACCTAGATCTCGATCAGAAGCCGGTGCGGATGCCGAAGCGTATTTTGCTAACAGACAAGGAATTTTGTCTTTCTGTAGAGCGGGAGAACAGCGTGCGACGTCCGTCGAGGATGATTAACTCGCTGGAGACTACAGAAGAGGGTAAAATTACATCAAATCGGGAAAATAAAGAGAACAAAGAGAGCAACGAAACGAAAATCGGAAATAAAAAATCACCCGGACCAGCTCTGTTCGAGAAGAAGTGTCTGTCGTTGGACTACGCCGACGAAGAGAAGCCTCAGAAGCCGGAAGTCAGAACGATCTCTTTGGCCTCTACGAGGGATTTGCCGTCCGAAACCGAGGAGATCGACGATTATCCCGATATGACGTTGATTTGCGACTCCAAGAGCTGCTCCTCGAGCGTCTTCAACTCTCCGTCCGAGGAGACGAACAAGAAAGATCTGGTTGGCGAGCCAGAGGAAGAAGAACAACCGAAAAAGCCTAGTCAGAATCATTGCGCCGAGGTAGACATCGCCATTCCCATCGATCAAAAGATCAACAGTCCCAAAGGAGATGTTCAAGGGCGGACTAGCGATCTCTACGAGATCATATCGCCCCGGTCGACGCCGTTCCGCGTTAAGAAGCGACTCGGCAAAATCTCCGTCGAAGAGACCGTCAAGCCGGAGAATTTCACCCTCGGTTCTAAGGTCGACTGCCGATCGGTTGTTGCTCAGAAACGGACCAAGTGCTTCCCTTTATAACGCACGTCGATCTGCCCGTGGGCGAAATTCTCTATGGCACTGGTTCGTGTTCGTACCGTAAGAAGACACGCAGATAAAGTTGCGTTTCGCCTTAATCCTTTCGATACCGTGTTAAACACAAGCGCGTTGTGCCAAATAATTTCTAACATCTTATTTAAACAAACAAAAAAAAAAGAAGAATTTGAACTCTGGTGAAATACTGTAAATGCTAAAAATTTTAGCTGTTCTGCAATTTTTATTATTCGCGTTGTTATTAATATTCTTATGATCCTATATAAAAGATATATATGTACCTATTCTATATCTTTTACCTATCTTTTTAGAAAAAAAATCATTTCACACATACACACAATTGTAATACGATTTTAAAATATCCTATAGAGTTGAGTAAATTGTCTTAACCGAACATTTTATAATTATACATTGATAAGAAAGATGAAAAGAAAATTATTCGTTAAAGCATTATATAGAAAAATATTACTGTACAAAGCCTAGGTACTGAAAGGATTAAATCTATCGAGTGATTCATAATAATAGTTACGTCTTCATTCGGTACGAGCATTCTTTCTTGAGTTGCTTCTAAGATCAAACAAATTAATAGTAAAAATCTCGTCAATAACTCGCCTAGTAGAAAAATTTCTCAATGAATTTGCGTAATTCGAAAACAGATATTTTTCTTATATGATGCTCGTCTTAAGATGACTTTGTATACTACCGCTATTAGTTCTTATAATTAGTCGAAATTAATCGTGTATATGGACGGCAGAATAGAAATTTCTAGTTCTACTTTGTATAAGCGAATATAATGATGGCATCTGCTAAATACAGCTTTCTAACTTTTAAATTATTCCTGTTGCATTTTTGCAGTTTTTTTTCGGGCAGTGTTGTTGGATACAGTGAATATATAGAGAATATGGTAATAAGTAAAGAGCGGAAATGAAAAAAATTTGAAATGCATGGGGATAGCAGATGCCACATTTCATTTCGCTCTATTGCATAATATAAAAATATTGCTAATCTTCTATTGGTAAAATAAAATGACATCCTCTCGAAAGTATAATGAAATTCGATTTTGCGACTGTTGGGAGACGAAAAGAAAGATTAAAAATTAAACCATAAAATTGGAAAATGAAAAAATGTGTGATCTAGAAAAAAAAATGACAGCTTTGTGAAGAGGATCTGTCCAGTTTAGAGCCTAATTCCGGAGTTTTCGACGGAACGAAATCCGAGACGTGCGAGAGCTCCTATCGAAATATTCTAAAGTGCACCGCGACCATTTTTTACTCGACGTTTTCGAGGTAGAAGATGGCCCGAAATGGAAACGAAAGCTCGATGTGGCTGTAGAGACTTTTTACTCGACGCGCGAGGACGAGGGATTCAGCGAAAAACCCTTCTGTCGAGCAGAGAGTGCCTTGTTCATGTGGATATATATTTAAACAAAGAGAGAACAAACATGCGCAAAAAAATAGTCCTCATCGACGATTCAATTCCGACTGCGCGCCGGATTTTCTGAATGGGTCCACGGAATCGCGCTCTCTCGTCGAATGACATCGCAATTTTCTCCTCTCGTTCTTTCTTAAGAAGATTCTTGCAATATTGAGACAGAATCAGTCGCGGTTCTCAGATTCTTAAATTCTTACTTGCTTGATTCCTGCAGCAAATTTCGATTCTACGTAACTTCTAATGAAGCGACGTACCTATGATAATTCACTTTTAAAAATCATTGATAAAGTTTTATCAAAAAGGAAAGTTTGAGGGAGCTATTGGAGTTTGGAAGAATATTGCGAACTCAAGAGAGTGCGATTCCCACGCAGATGCGTGCGCCTGCCAAGCCTGCTCTTCGTTCGGCGCGGCACTTTAACGTTTTAGCGGCATAAAACTTATATATGTATAATTAATACAGATTTAACCGCGTTCCTCTTATATAATTTTTTAGAGATAGGTAGGATCGAGAGAGACAACGCACTAAAATTGATTATGCGGAAAGTACATTTAAATGTAGATAGACGTATATGTATATAAATATTATACAGTATACACATAAAGTATGTATCGGTATTTTGACGAGATGTTTGCGCGAAACAGAATTAATAATGTCGGTGTGGATGCACTCTTACCTCATAAGTTAGTACTTTCTAAAGCTTAATACTCTGTATCCCTCTCTCTCTCTCTCCCCCTCTCTTTCTCTCTCTCTTTTTAATGTATGTTGTAATAACTGATAATGTTGGTACTTTCATAAATTTGTCAGAGCGGAATTACGAAGCACGCTCTTATGTTTTAGTCGGATACAAGCCCTGAGCTCTCTTAAATAACGAGATTAAATGCGTTTTATTTCGAAATATTAAACGTTCTCGAAGTCCAAGTCCTTCGTACATTACGTCCGCACTATAAAAATGCGAAGATGCCTGAGACGAAACTAAATGCATCTGGACCGACGTCATATACGTATGTATTCGGTGAAAATTAGAAATTAATACACAAGCTGATATATACGTATATAAATATATAAATGTATTTATATATTTATATATGAATACGCATACTTAGCCAAGTGTAATTGTACGGATCTAATAGTTGGTGAGATGTGTGCCAAAGAAAAATTTATTATATATTAGAGAAGAAGTTACTTTTATATATACACGTTGTATATATTACCTATTTGTGTGTACACGCGCAAAAATGCGTGTCTGTGTGTGGATGTATGAGATGTGCGCGCGTCTCTCCGTGCAGTTGCATTCATTTATATGTACATAGATGTACACGCGCGTACGAAATAAATATATGCATATACGGTTAGGAATTTACATGTATTGTATGTGCATACGACCGGAATATGGCACGAGGATGCACACGTCTGGAGCAACGTGTGCGTTGAGGAAGATCACGATCCGCTATTTTCTCCATGCTACCGTGTGCGCACTTAATTTAATTAATTCAAAGTGAACGGGCCTGCTAGTATCTTTATCGCAATCTCATTTCCCATACTGCACATTTAAGTGTCTCGCACGATTAATGTTTTAATCATTGAATGCAATTCTCTACCTACATTGCAAATATAACGGCAACATCGTGCGAGGTGAGAAAAAAATTATGAATTACATAAACTTATCTCTTTTTCAATTTATATATATATATATATACGAATATAATTATATATAATATAATATAATTATTATTTTATTTAATATAACATAATATAATTTATTTAATATAATATAATTATTAATATAATTTTTTTTTCATATTTTACAAATAGCGTAAGTACTTGAACAAATTGCGATAGAAAATGCTGCTCTCCCATATTTGTAAAATTTATCAAAAAATTTATCTTCCCAAATAACATACGTACATGTTGCAGAAGATTTCTAAAAGACGTTTTTTAGATACTTCATGCAACAATATGCATGTTATGACGTAGTTCTGATGATCTTAATTCTGTCGAGATTAATATTTATTATATTCGCGATAACAAGGATTGCAAGTATTTATCTGCCCATTTCTACTCGAGTCAATAGCCGAGCTAAATGGCTCGTGATCCTCCTTAATCGTATAGACCGCAATAGTGTACATAATATTTTCGGCCAGTGCAATACCAGATACATGGTGAGACAGGGTTCGCTTTGTAATCGGAGGGCAAAACTCGTCCACTCTCGTTTTAAACTTGATAGAGGAATTCACCCCTAAACGCCGCGACAGCTATCCGTCCACCCTTTCGGCTGTCCACGCAAAAAGTGAATGAAAAAAACACGCGCACCGACAACGTGACGATAAATGAGAAGAGGCGCGCGGTTATATTGTAATATTAATGTTACAACTTTCGTTCTCGCGGGCGAGATTTAGCGTTCAAACGCGAACATGGCGTTCATTAGTTGCTGTTATGATCGTTAGAAGCGCACTCCAACAAGAGGATTGCCCCTCTTGGATAACTTTTTCTCGAGATACACGGAAAGAAGAGTTTTGTCGAAGTATTGAAAAATTTAGCTTAATATAGATTTGAAAATAATTTTCTTTGAAAATCAAAATAAATATCCCTAGTAGCAATTGATTGGCGATTATACATTTAGTTAAACGTTGAGGATATATTGGGCCAATATTAAGCCAATAAATTATGCTACTAGGAATGTAAGACGTTCAAACTAGTTGCTAGAATATTAAAACTTTTTACAGCATTGTCATCAACGCTTAAGCGTTATATAAATATATTTTGATAATTCAACAAAATTATCTTCAGACCTGTATGTAGCTAAATTTTTAAATACTTCAGCAAAACTATTCTTTTCACGTACCAATAATTTAAATACAAATGTTTTACCGTTGGTTCCGAAATATAACATTTGAGGATATATTCTATACACATATATACGTATATAACTTTGTTCCTACATATAAGACTCCGTTTTAATGGTGAAGGAGGAGGATGTTACATCGGCGATGTTTGTACCGCCGAGAATGTAAAGTCCAAGTTCTACCGAATTGAAAAGAGTCGGCAAAGTGCGAACATGAGAAATAATGAAGAAACGAAATGTACAAGTTAGTAATTAATACTCGAATCAATTCTAAACTACGCGGCTCAACGTCTCGGCGCACATTTAGAACTGTACGCGGTGATCGTGGTTTGATTTTCTCATCCCGTGAACGTTAAATAAAATCTCAGGATCAAACGATCGCGACAAATCGGAATACGTAAAACCTTGCCTAATTCGCTCGCACGAAGGCACGACTTCTGCCTACTTGAAACAATTCAATCTCCTCCCGTTTATTCCTAAGGATATTCACCGAATTGTGAATAACGTTATAGACGTTAGCATAGAGCGAGATGGTACAATGGGATTGTAACGTTAAATTAATTTCCATTTTCGCGTCACGTTGAACGTGCTACGCTATGACACGTGTATACATACACGTATTGTATAATACACACGTACGTCTACACGCAATTACACACAACACACGCGATGTGAGTGTATGGTTGTCTCTGTGTGTATGTACGCGACACGTAAGTATCTCTATATGTGATGGGCGTTCGCCACGTTCATGTCAATAAAATTCACATTGTAACAAGCCATTAGAAACGCCACCACGACAAACAAATCGACGAATACGAACGGCGATATGAAAATGTAATTTAAGAACTCGCCGTGCGTTATTTTTTGGTAAAATGTGCGATTGTTCCTTTATGGAAATCTGTAAACATCGTATATTATGAGTTTTATTGAACTCTACAAAATATTGTCAAGACGAATCAATTACGATTTACGGATTGGATTTCAGCAAAGTATATATAATTTCACGGAAATTACGAATAAATTATTTTTCATTTTAACTCTTTTTTATTTTCTTAATTTTATTAAAAAGCTTTTTACTATTCGACATTTTATTTATTGTTGTGACATTCGGCAATAGTATTTATCTATATATCTCTGTATTAATATTTATTTTTTTATTCGGGGTACTTGTTCTGAAATTGCCATAATATTTTGAGGCCTTACAGCGAATATAAAATCAATTTCTAGCAATTTGTTAATTAAACAAAGTTTCGATTTAAAAAAAAGTAAATATTAATGTGATAATATTAATGTAATATTACTTGCACAATATTTGGATTTATTATTACATTAATTTAATTTTTTTGAATCAAATACTTTTATTTTTTATACAAAATATTGAATATTAATTTAATATTTAATATTTAATTTAATATTTAATATTTTTTAATCAAAAACATTTTTTTCATTAACAATTTGCTAAGATCGATTTCAAATTTGTTGCAAAGCCTCCAAAATTTCATATGGGAATATTAGAAAATTAAGTTTCACGTAAGTAAATACACCAAAGGATTTCACTTTAAACGAAATTCTAATAATAAATACAATTATGAAATCCTTTCACGTACTTACATGGAACTTAATTTTCCAATACTCCTACTTATAATAATTACATAAAATTTAAATTTTATACGATTTGCTCCGAGTAATTATTCGAACAGTTCATTTCCAAGATGTCAATCCGTAATTGTTCTCCTCGTTTTTTACGAGAGATATGTATACTTACGCATCTATCGTGACTGCTTTTTGAGGACCGCCGGATTCGATACATATATTGCAGTGTCACTTTGCGAAAGTATATCGCCGCTGCACCGCCGCCATTTGCATATCCGATTTGCGCGACTTGGATCGATACGGACATCGATCTCAACTTAATATTCAAAATTAGTAAAAAGAGACTTTGTGAGACTCACAATGAACGCCTGTCGATGAGACTCGCTGTTCAGCGTAATTAGGGCTCCTGCACAGAGAAAAAAATGTTTGGTATTTGTAACTATAATTATATATTACTATAATTATGATTATTACTGCTATAATAATAATAACAGTAACTATATATATAGTTCCAGCAACAAATGTATATAATTGGCAACCTAAAATGACTATAATTATAGTTGTTATAACCATAAAATAGTTGAAATTACCATAAAATTATAGTCACTTGAACCATTTTTATGGTAATTTCAACTATTTTATGGTTATAACAA